ATCTGTGATAGAGCGCGCGCGTGGGGGGCCCGATAGACTAAAAGGGGGGCCCCAGCTTGAAGCTACCCCCCTCCCCCCTTCCTTGCTAAAGGGGGGGGGGGCTTCGGAAGCCCCCCCCCTCCCCTCCTTTTCGTGGTTCGGAAAGGGGGGGGGACTTCCAAGCTACCCCCCCCCCTCCCTCCCTTAATTGAGCCGGGGTGAGCCACCCCCCCCCTTTGAAAGGGGGGGGGGGCTTCGGAAGCTCCCCCCCCCCCTCCCTTTTCCTGGCCGGAAAGGGGGGAGGGGGCTTCCAAGCTACCCCCCCCCTCCCTCCTTTTAATGGAGCTGGGGTGAGCCACCCCCCCCCTTTGAAAGGGGGGGGGGGCTTTGGAAGCCCCCCCCCCTCCCTCCCTTGGTGCAAAAGGGGGGGGGCTTGAAGCCCCCCCCCCCTTCCCCCCTTTGGCCGCCCAGCTCCCGGAGCCATCGCCCTCCCTTTCGCCTCCATTTATTCCCGCCCCTCTCCCTCCTCCTCTTCTTCCTTTTGCCTCCTCCTCTTCCTCGTCCTCCTCATCCTCCTCATAGTCATCATCGTCATCATCATCATCATCATCATCATCATCATCATCATCATCATCATCATCATCATCATTCATCATCAGCATCATCATCATCATCATCGTACTCCCCCGCGGGTCCTTCCGTTCCGTTCCTCCTCCTCCTCCTCCTCGGGCTCATCATCATCATCATCATCATCATCATCATCATCATCATCATCATCATCATCATCATCATCATCATCATCATCATCATCATCATCATCCATCTCTTCTCCTCATCCTCATCCTCATCCTCATCCTCATCCTCTTCCTCCTCCTCCTCCTCCTCCTCCTCCTCCTCGTGATCCTCCTCCTCCGTTCCTCCTCCCATCCTCCTCCTCCTCTCCTCCTCCTCCTCCTCCTCCAATTCTTTTCCCACCGCCCCACCACGACCGTCACCCGAACTCGGCGCGCTCTTCTATCTGGGTCCGTCCTCCTCCTCCTCCTCCTCCTCCTCCTCCTCCTCCTCCCCCTCCTCCTCCCCCTCCGCCTCCCCCATCCTCCGCCTCCTCCTCCCCCAGCTGGCCGCCGTCTTACACGAACACTGCCAAACCCGACGGGCTGGCGTCTTCCGAATTACACTTCGTGCAATTTTCGGGGGGATAGTATTTTTCCCAACCCTCCTTGGTTGGGTATGCGTTTTGAATAGGGCAGTGTGGTCTCCACTTCCTCCTTCCCGTCCCGTCTCCCTCTTGCCTCCTCCTGTTTTGCTTGCGGGGGGCTGCGATCTGTGAAACCGTCGCTACTTTCGAGTCTCCCGAATTCCGTCGGCAGACATATGTAACCCTCGCTCCGTCATCGCCCCCCTTATAAAGTGTCCTAAGCTATTTGCGCCCCGCGTTTGCGCAGGGGTTGGGTACGTCGCCAGTGTAATTTTTCGTTCCCGGGCGTTGGCACGGGACGAGTTGAATGATACACTTGCGTTGCAATCGATTGCAATCCATTGGATTGCAAACGATTCGATTGCAATCCATTGGATTGCAATCGATTGGATTGCAATCGGTTGAATTGCAATCGATTCAATCGATTGGATTGCAGGGGAGGGACAGGACGGAAGGGAGGGAGGGGAGGAGAGGGAGGGGAGGGAGGAGATGGAACGAAGGGTGTGGAGGGAGGGGAGGGAGCGGAGGGAGGTGGGGAGGGGGATTGCAGTGGAATGGAGTGCAATCGATTGCAAGCGATTCGATTGGGATTTTCGATCGTCGATCGTTGATCGTCGATCGTCCATCCTCGATCGTGGATTGTTCATTTTGGATCGTCGGCGAAAGGGAGGGCGGAGGCTCCGGGGGCTGGGCGGCCAAAGGGGGAAGGGGGGGGGGGCTTCCAAGCCCCCCCCCCCTTTGGCACAAAGGGGGGGAGGGGGGGGGAGCTTCCAGCAGGGCGGCTCCAAGGGAGGGGGGGGTAGCTTAAGCACCCCCCCCCTTTGGAAGAGGGGGGTAGGGGGGGGTAGCTCCGGGGCGGCCAAAGGGGGGGGGGGGTGGGTAGCTTCCAAGCCCCCCCCCCCTTTGCACGAAAGGGGGGGAGGGGGGGGGTAGCTTCCAGCAGGGCGGCGCCAAGGGAGGGGGGGGTAGCTTAAGCACCCCCCCCCCTTTGGAAAGGGGGGGAGGGGGGGGTAGCTTCCGGGGAGGGCCCAAGGGGGGAGGGGGGGGGTAGCTGTAAGCCCCCCCCCTTGCAAAAAAAGGGGGGGGAGGGGGGGGGTGCTTCCAACAAGGGCGGCTCAAGGGAGGGGGGGGGGTCGCTTAAGCCTAGCCCCCCCTCCCCTTTGCTCGGGCCCTGCGGGCGCGCTCTCTCATATCTGTCCTGTTGACCTCTGGACTCAGGTGGACCGAGAGGATGCCTTTGAAGTCCGTCCACGCTGTGGTGACTCCGGGGCAGGAGGCGGCAGCTAGGAATCCCAAGTGCTCGGCAGCGGGCGACGTGGGAGGCAGGCTGGCCCCCCCACGCGGCCTGAGATGCTGGCAGCCAGGTCGCCAGTTTCGTCGATTTTGACCACGGACCAGGCGGGGGCGTCGTAAACACTGCCATCGTGAAAAACTTCTCCTTGCATGCCAGCCTCCTTGGGTTGACCATCTCTTGACCAGGACACTGCACACTCTGGACCGAAACCTCGGGGCTTCTGGAGGAGGAGGGGGAGGAAGAGGAGGAGGAGGAGGAGGAGGAGGAGGAGGAGGAGGAGGAGGAGGCACTTGTCGAAACTTATTTGCCACGCAATCGCTTTGACCTATCTCAAGTTGAAGTTCAATCGTTTCCTTTCAAAGTCTTGCAGATGTTCTGCCTGCGTGCATGCGATGACATCGTCGGGAGCCATCTGGCCTTAGCAATTTCGCCCAGAGGCTACATGATCATGTCACAGTGCATTGCATGTGTGTTGATTCAGCATGCTCCCAGCACACGGTTCCGCATCACATAATACAATTCAGGTCACGCGCCCGCCGCCACGCGCGCGTGTTCATATCAGTCCAAACATTTAGCTTTAAACACATGCCAAACTAATTGGGAACAGCGCATGTTTCCCACCTGAAAGTTTGCGGGTTTGATTAGTGGTTTCTGCGCGCGGTTTTCCTCGCTATCACACTCATCAGCGCCATCGCATCACCGCCTTCATATCCATCGCCAACCATTATCATCGCCTTCGGCGGCGCCAGCGTCGCCATCATCGCCCTTTGCTGATGGCATCGTCGTCATCGCCACCACTATCGATACTGTCGTCATTTTTGCCACCGCGTTCGGCGTCATTATGGTGTCGCGCCCGCCCTGGCCACCGGCCCGCACCGAAGTGCCCGTGCGCCGCCAGCGCGGCCTCGGAGACGCGCTGGGAAGTTCTCACCGGTAAACGCCATCGCGGCCGCTCTGCGCGCGAGCTTCCGCGCGTAACCGCGGCCGCAGAGGTGCGCCAACCAGTGCCAGGCACTCACTGCAATCGCTGCAGCGTGAGTTTTTTGCAGAGCAAGCCGAGGGTGGGGGTGTGGGGTGTTTGCGCGAGCAGTGGAGTTGACGGGTTGCTCGTGATCTTGGATGTGCCGCCTGGATTGGCCAAGTGCCCTGCGGGTGCACAGTTCGACAGCTGTCTGCTTGTGGTACACGCTGGCCAACGTTTCACTGAGTAGAAGCCAACCTCGGATGCGACGATACGGGCGAATAGCCCAGGGGTTGGGCGAAGAGAACTATGCACATGCACCGATCCTGGCAAGGCGCATCCTTGACCCAGGATCGGTGCATATGCCTCCCTGGCCAAGGTAGGAGGGCGTATGCACCGATCCTGGGCTCAGGATGGGCCTGGCCAGAATCGGTGTATGTGCATAGGTCTTTTTCCTCTAAGGGGGGAGCAATACATGCATCTAGGGGTGCCGATGATCTATGTCTTCGACAGGGCTCCCGGGCGAATGCGTGCAGGGCCCGCCCCTGGGCTGTTCGCCCCTGTCGCCGCCGCCGGCAGCTAGCGGACACGCGTCTTGATCCCTGCTGGACCCAGTCCCTCCGGGACAGGAGAGTCTCTTCTGCGTCGTCCTCGTCCCTCCCCCAGGGCTGCGAGGCCCCACACAGGAGGCGACACGCGCAGCCTTCCCGGAAGATCCCATGGGGCCCGTGCATCATCCCAGAGGCTCTGGGCCTCCCCAGAGGAGGAGGAGGAGGAGGAGGAGGAGGAGGAGGAGGAGGAGGAGGCGGAGGAGGAGGGGGGACGAGGAGGAGGAGGAGGGGAGGAGGCGGAGGGGAGGAGGAGGAGGAGGAGGAGAGGAGGAGGGGAGGAGGAGGAGGGAGGAGGAGTAGGCGGAGGAGGAGGAGAGGAGGAGGGAGGAGGAGGAGGAGGAGGAAGGAGGAGGAGGAGGAGGAGGGGAGGAGGAGGAGGGGGAGGAGGGGAGGAGGAGGAGGAGGAGGAGGAGGAGGGGGGAGGAGTAGGCGGAGGAGGAGAAGAGGAGGAGGAGGAGGAGGAGGAGGAGGAGGAGGAGGAGGAAGAGGAGGAGGAGGAGGAGGAGGAGGAGGGAAGGGGGGGAGGAGGAGGACGAGGAGGAGGAGGACGAGGAGGAGGAGGAGGAGAAGGCGATGTGGCAGGCCCCCGTCTTGTCTCGAATGGCCTCAGGCTCCAGAGGCCTTGAGTTTTCGTCCAGACTACACGTGAAGCCAGAGCCCGGGTCGCAATCTCAATATTGCCAGCGGAGAGCAAGACAGAAGCAACGAGACAAAAACACGAGGCCCAGAACAGTCCTCTAATTTCTTACTAGAGCCTCTCTCGTCTCAGAGGCGAAGCAAGGAGTCCTGCTCTCAATCTGGAACAGATTCGCACAGCTGAGTCTGAAGCAAAATTGTGCGTGTTGCGACTTGGCGTCCCGCCGTGCGCTGCTGCACGGCTAAGATTTTGCTGTTATGGCGTGATGTGTTTGAGGTTTTGATGTTGCTGGTCTTGCTCGTCCTCATCCCCACTGTCTCAGCAGTTTTCTGGCCCAGCTCGGAACTTTGCCAGAACCTTCCCGCGTCTGGGACACGCCTCCCAGGCTACAGCGATCATGGCTCCGATTCGCATCGCTGCCATCTCTCTCGCCGCGGTCTGCGCATGGAACCTGTTCTCGCAGGCCTTTGTGGCCTCCGGGCCGAGCGCGTCGTCTCGCCCTAACCGCGTGGCCATGCGCGCAGCGTCGAACACGGCCGGTGGCGGATTTGCTCGTGGCCCGCTGGTGGTGTACATGGACGCGCTCATAGATGCGGCCGCGAGTGCGGGCGAGAGCGTGACCGTCACGAAGGACGTAATGAGGTACAAGCAGTTGAGGGAGAAGATGACCGGTGACATGCAGTTCGAGCTGACGGAGGCGCTCAACATTGCTGGCGCATCTGAACACTCACAGGCCTCGTCAACCGTCGAAATTATGGGTCCCTGGGAGTCCACCGTGTTCCCCAAGTTCGTCACGTTCCTCGCCAAGAAGAGGCGCTTCAAGTCGCTGAGGGCGATCTGCGAGGAGTACGTGTCGTTCCTCTACGCGCGCGAGTCTATCGAGCCCGTCACCGTGTATTCGGCGACGAAGCTGACGGACGAGCAGGTCGACAAGATCAAGGCGAAGATGGCGGACAAGCTCGAGGTCCGCGACATCAAGCTCATCCAGCAGGCCCACCGCGCAGAATCTGCGGGGGGACCCTCCCCTGCCCCGACTCCCGAGCTGCTCCTCGGCCGCCGGATGGCCTCGGAGAGCCGCGAAGACCGCCTCAAGCAGCCTCGAGACCGCTTCGGATGGCCGGGAGTGGCTTCGGATAGCCTCGGATGGCCTCGGGCCTGGCGCGAGTGGCCGGGGCAGGGGCGCAGAAGCTAGGTCCTCCCTGCATTCCGCGGCAGGTCGACCCGTCCCTCCTCAGCGGCTTCAAGATCGAGTGGCGCTACACGGACCCGGAGAACCCGACGGTGGGCGCCGAGTCGATCGACCTGTCCCTGCAGTCCGCGCTGGAGCAGGCCGCCATCGCCGGGCGCTGAGGAGGGCGGCACCGCGAGGCAGGAGCCTCCAGCGCCCGGGCTGGGGCTCGGCCCACTTCTACCGATACGGATCCCCGGGGAGGCGTCGGCGGTGAGCCAAGGGGGGGGGAGGTGAGAGGGGGGCGGGCCTTCTCAGGAGGCTGGGCTGGCCCGTGGCCCTCTGAGAAGTGTTCTGAGCCTTCTCCGAAGACGCAGGGAATTTCTCAGAAGGCCGGCGGGGCCTCTCAGAAAAGCCCCGCCGCCTTCTGTGGAGGCGCGCCCCCGCTCGCTTCCCTCCTGGGCGCGCTGCCGAATGTGGATGCCCTCCGCGCGTCCACATCCAATCATTAAGCATAATGCAACCCCTGACACTAATCATACACTTAATTCGTGGCCCAGATTAGGTCCTCGGTTGTTAGGGTTATCCCCAAGCATGTGTGCGGTTTCGTCTGTGACATCTGCAAACGAGACCCCCTATCCCTGATGTTCTGGGCCCTCCTAACGTTGGTCCCCTCCCAAAGGAGAAGTAGTTTTCATGTCAGGAGGGGAAAAACACACACAGGCACAGTTCATGGTCGACTCCCCCGGGAAAATGTGGGGACAGATGGGGAGTGACGGGGAAGACGCACACCCAAAGGAAACACGGAAGAGCATTGGGAGTCCAGGGATTTTGTGTATGGCGCTGGGTTTTACAGCGGGCCAGCCGCAGCAGCCCCAGAGGGCCGCCTCCGGGCTGCAGCCCGCAGGAGGGATCCCTCCCCCTCCTCCTCCTCCTCCTCCTCCTCCTCCTCCTCCTCCCTCCTCCTCCCTCCCCCTCCCTCCTCCTCCTCCTCCTCCTCCTCCTCCTCCTCCTCCTCCTCCTCCGCCTCCTCCTCCTCCTCCTCCTCCTCCCCCTCCTCCTCCTCCTCCTCCTCCTCCTCCTCCTCCTACCCCTCCCTCAGCCCACGCCCTCGCTCCGAGGGCCGCCGCCTCCCGCCTCGCTACACCCTCGTGCGCGCCGCCCGCGCGCACCGGCCCCGCTCCCGCGCGAGCTGTGGCTGGCCGGCAGGCCCCAGCGTTCATCTTCAAGCGGTGGCGAAGCGTCCTGGCTCGCCGATGGGCCTGCCGAGGAATGGTCTAGGAACCTTTTGCGGTCCGCACGGCATGTTCTCAGAACGTCTCTGGCTGGGACTTTCTTATTTTAGCACATCGGGCTTATGATCTAAGAACACTGTTTTTTGTTCTTAGGGCATGTCTGGGTTCGAAGAACATGTCGTGGTAGGCCTGTAGGAATGCCGGGACGGTCTGCCCCAGCGTCCATCTGCGGCGGGCGCGAGGCAGCGCCTGCAGTGTTTTCCCAGGCCCCCCACTTGGGGCCGGAGCAGAACTCGAAAGAGAAACAGCCACATAAGCATAAACTTTAGGCGCTCCGCGCGGGTTTCTTGGATCCGCGCTGGCCCCCCCCCCGGGGGCGCCTCCATCCATCGCCGCCCCTGGCGCGCTCCGCGCGCCAGGGAGGGGGGTCCAGCGCAGATCCAAGAAATCCGCGCAGACCTTGACCTTCAAAAGCTTATGTTTGTGTGGTTGCTTGTTCCTCTAAGAAGGTCGCAGGCGGTTTGTCTCCCCCAGTCCCCCCGACTTTTCGACAAAAAAGAAGCCGCTCAGTGAAGCAGGGAAGCTCTGGGATGCACCCCAGGGGGGCTATTCGGACGCACCCGTATCGTTGAGCATGGGCGATCCCCCCATCGCAGATCCCAGGGTTGGGCCTAAATTTTTGGTCCATTCGGAAACCCCATGAAGCCTGGAGTATGGGGTCGACGTATCTCCTATTGGACAGTGTCGGCGACGAGCCCGGGGGGGGGGAAGTGAGAAGGGACGGGCCTTCTCAGAAGGCTTGGAAGTCTCCCTTCCTTCTCTGATGTTTTCTGAGTCTTCCCCGAAGACGCAGAGAACGTCTCAGAAGGCCTTCTCCTTCTCACTTTCCCCCCTCGCTCGTCGCCATGAAAGTGGGGTCGGAGGATCGCACCGCATCGCCGATGCATCTGCGATGCTGGTCGATGCGGAGCCCGGTTTTCTCCGCGCCGACGGCGCCGATGCTTCGGCGACGTCACCAAAGCATCGCCGATGCATCGGCGATTTGGCGGGGTCCCCCGATCCCACGTATTCCGGCCCCATTTGGGGGACTTGAATTTGTAGCATCGAGCTCCGGGGCGTGCCCGCGGGGAAAGAGGAAGCGGCCCGCGCGGAGGGGAGAGTGGGGGACAGTGGGAGGAGGAGTGTCAGGAGGGGTGGACACAAACAGAAATAGACGTTGCCTTCCATGAAAATGCCGAAGCGCCCCGCAGTTGCGGATAAGAGTGAGGGGGCGGCGGGGACGTCGGCAGTCTGCGAGGCTCTGAAGAAGCCCGCCGCATCAGCCTAATTTTCACAACTCATACAACGAGCTCGCAATGTGGGTGGGTCGCGGGTGGGTCGCGGGTGGGTCGCGGGTGAGTCACGGGCCTGGTCGCGGGTGGATCGCGGGTGGGTCGCGGGTGGGTCGCGGGCGGGTCGCGGGCGGGTCGCGGTGTTGTTCGCGGGTGGGTTGCAGGTGGGCTGCGGGTGGGTCGAGGGCCGGGTCGCGGGCGGGTCGCGGGTGGTTCGCGGGTGGTTCGCGGGTGGGTCGCGGGGTGGATTGCGGGTGGGTCGCGGGTGGGTCGTGGGTGGGTCGCGGGGTGAGTCGCGAGCCGGGTCTCGGGTGGGTCGCGGGCCGGGTCGCGGGGGGGGGGACGACGACAACAATAATTAATGCAACACAGCAATATCAAGCAGTATCAACACTGACAAAAAACAGCACCAATAACAGCAATAACAGCACCAACAGCAGCAATTGGCAGCAACATCAACACAGAAAACATTAACAACAACACTCATGCACCAGCAGCAACAACAGCAGCAACAGCAACAGCAACAGCAGCAGCAACAGCAACAGCAACATCAACAGCAACAGCAGCAACCGCATCGACAACAAACACAACAATAATCATTGTAAGACGGTCCTCTCTTATCTGCCCGCGTGCCATTCAGTACGCACATCCCAAACCCTCGATGCCCGCCCTCTCAATCCTCGATCGTACCCCCTCAGGGTTCGATCTATTTCACCTGCAACGTGTATTTCGTGCAGCCCCTTAGGCAGGGAAGAGAGGACGGATGGAAGGAAGGGACAATGGGGAGGAAGGAGGATGGAGCACGAGCGAGAGTAGCAGGAGGGGGCTGGGAGCACGTGGCAGAACTAGACGGGTAGATCGGGCAGGTAGACCCTAACGGGCGGGTCGGGAAGGCGGGCCCAAGCGGCTGGGTCGAGCAAGCGGGTTGCTGAAGCGTGCGTCCTGAATGAATCGAGAGGAAGTCTCGATCGATAGCGCGATTCCCACATACGTCTCGAGGAAATCCTCAGCGAGCGGGTGATTCCTGAGTGTCGAGAGAGCGCGGCGTCTGAATACATTGCCAGAAAGTCCTGCGCTGGAGCGCGATTCCTGTACAAATTGTGATGGCGTCCCGCGCGAAAGCGGGATTCGGGAATCAATTCTGAGGACGTATCAGGCGGGAACCGTTGTTGTTGTTTGTTGTCGTCGTTGTTGTTGTTGTTGTAAACCGGGGGCCAAGGGCACAGTTTGGTGACACCCAGCATTCCATTGTGAAAAACAGGGTGCGAGCCCCGGGATAAGCACTCCGATTGGAAACATGCACTGGTTACCATGCAGGGAAGATAAACAATATTTGTCTTTCAGAAATGAGAAGTCAACAACATCACCATGAACCTTAACACCAACAACACCAGCAACAACATCAACACCACCAGCATCAGCAACAACACCAACAACAACAGCAACAACACCAATAGCAACAACCGCAACCACACCAACACCACCACTAATACAAACACCACCAACAACACCATCACCAACATCAGCACCAACAACAGCAACAACAACAGCAATAGCACCAGTCGCCAGTCGCAACAATGACAACAACAACGACAACAACAAGCATTATCCGTGCCGCGGAGTCCCACTTCAGCCATGCACCCAGGGACAGTCAATTACCGCTCTGCCCCTTCCATCCTGGTAAACAAATCTTAGAAATGGAGGGGAAGAGGGTCATCCAGGAAATTTTGAAACATCTGGGAAGACCTGGGATCTGTTTTGATTTGTGTGTGCCTCCGTTGGCCCCTCCAGAAGGGGTCAGGGTTCGGGAGGGTGCAGCGTCCCGCAAGGAGGAGGGTGGCGACAAGGTAAGGTCGGGTCGGGCGAAGGTCAGATCAACGTTGGGGGGGGGAGAAGCTCAGGGTCAGGGGGTGGGTGGGGGGCAACTCTCTCAGACTCGAGGCTTGAGGTTCGAGGGCGTTTTCGGCGGTTCTGGGTGGTCTTCCAGCTTCGGGGTGCTGCTCCAGCAGCTGCGCCATCGCCGGGGGCGTTCGGGGGGCGTACCCGCACCGTCCCGAACGGCCGCAGGAGAGCCGAGTTTTATGACGCGCGAAAGCTGGGGGGCAGCCGGATCAGGGGAAGCGTTAAAGGTCAGAAGCTTTTGGATAGCGTACACCTTAGGCGATGCTTAAGAAAACCCAAGTTTTCGGCCAGAGTCTCGATTATTCTTAATGTTTCAATGTAAATCCTAAGATTTGAATAGAAATTCTAGGTTTTTATTCACGTTCTGAGACTATGAATTTCTTAACCCATGATTTCTTAAGCATTTCGCAGGGTGTAGGGCTCAGCCGGATCAGGGGAAGCGCTAAAGGTCAGACGCTTTTGGATAGCGCATCGCTCTGCCGGTTCTTGCCCGCTGCGCTTCGACGCGGCACGCTGTCTCGGCTACGCTTAGGATGTTCCAAGCGACTTTAGCCTTGATCGCCAGAATGAATCTCGAGCGCCGAGAGAACACCCCCAAAAACTCGAGGGTTGTCACGTGTCGGGTCCTGGGAGACACTCTTTCGGCACTGCTTCGGTACTCTTTCGATACTTTTCTGGGTGCTCGAGACTATTTCTGGGATGTGGTCCTCAAGTACAATGGGAGCAGCATGAGCCTGAGTGACCTTC